GCCTGATTTGCTTTGTCAGAAACTTCAGAAGACTCAGGTGGAGGCCTCAACAATCACCTGGATCAAAGACTACCTGACGGACAGACCACAGTTTGTGAGACTGAAGGGTTGTGTGTCTAACCAGGTGGTCAGTAGCTCAGGAGCACCACAGGGGACTGTACTCTCACCATTCCTTTTCACTCTGTACACCTCAGATTTCCAGTACAAAACAGACTCCTGTCATCTGCAGAAATATTCTGATGACTCTGCAGTAGTCGGGTGTATCAGAGATGGACAAGATCAATACATGGAACTGGTGGACCGCTTTGTGGCATGGTGTGGAAACAATCATCTCATCTTGAATGTGAACAAAACAAAAAAAGATGATTGTAGATTTCAGGAGAATCAGGAACAGGTCCAACCCTATTTCCATCATGGGAGAAGAAGTGGAGGTGGTGGAGAAGTATAAATACCTTGGGGTTCACCTGGACAATAGACTGGACTGGAAATGCAACAGTGAAGCATCTACAAGAAGGGACAGAGCAGACTGTACTTCTTGAGGAAGCTGAAGTCCTTCAGTGTTTGCAGCAAGATGCTGCATATCTTCTATAAGTCTGTTGTAGAGAGCGCTACCTCTTCTGCCATCATCTGCTGGGGGAGCAACACCAGAGCAAGTGACTTAAAAAAGATCAACAAGCTCATAAAGAAGGCTGGCTCAGTTCTGGGGACTCCTCTAGAACCTTTGGAGATGATTGTTCAAAGAAGGATTCTTCATAAAATGAAGAACATATAGACGACCCTCAGCATCCTCTTCATCAGACTGTCATACAACAACAAAGTGTCTTCAGTCAGAGGCTTCTTCAAATCCATTGTAGGACAGACCGCTACAAGAGATCCTTCCTGCCCACAGCCATCAGCATCTAGAACAACTCTTTAATGAAACCAGGATGATGAGTTACAACAACATTTAATTTCCCTCTGGGATTAATAAAGTATTTTTGAATTGAATTGAATTGAATTGAATTAAACAGTAGCAAGAAGAAAAAAAAACCCTACTAACTCATGTAAATACATTTACACTTGAAATATTCACCCTAAATATGTCATTTAAGTCAGGTTGGAAGTACAGAAATAAATCAATAAATGTGTCAGTCTGTTGCTGCTTTTATCGTTAACAAACTTGAATCAAGTCATGCAGTTTTTTTTCCTCACACAACGTACAGACTCTGAGTCAGAGTCAGAGTTTCTTTATTGTCATTCGCACCTCATGTGGTACATGTGGTGGAGTGAAATTATGTACACAAGGTCCCAGTTACATCCAACAATAAAATGTATAAGAAAAACAGTAATAACATCTAAGATATGAACTAAGAAAAACATCAACTAAATATACACTAAGCACTCATAACATAAAACATTGAACATCAGCACAAACATGAACATGAGTCTGTGTGTTTGTGCTGATGTTCAATGTTTTATGTTATGAGTGCTTAGTGTATATTGCCAGGTAGCCTCTATGATTAGTCAGTAGATTTAACGTTAGCAAAAATATGCCTCATTTTATATCTATAGCATGACAGATTATCACACATTCAGTTTAACGTATTTTGCACAGAGAACATGATACCTGTTGCAGCTGCGGACGAGTTTGATGCTACAGCGAGTGTTTTCTCTTCAGACGCTGCAACATTGATGACGTGCTGTTGTGGTTACTCCAGTTCTGCTTTGCAGTGGAAGCATTAAGCTGTTTTATCTTTATCTTTTAGCCTAAAATATTCCCAAACTTTTGACAGTTTTTGTTGTTTTCAGGGCTCTACTTCTACGCAGTCTACGTTCCCTCCATAGCTACAAAAACTTAGCACATACGTGTTAGCGTAAATGCTAGCGGAAGCGGTAGCGTTGTGTAACACAAAAACCTTCCGGCTAGACCACAGTGCTCTGAATAGTTTAACGAAGCTTCAAGGCAGATACATTTGCCTCGAGGATTTTTTGTAATCGAGGTCCTTGAATTATTCGAGGAATTGTTTCAGCCCTACTTCTATTCCCTTGGGAACGAACAGACATATTTTATTCATTGTTTTAGCTCACAAACTTTTTAGGTTGACACTTAACATAATAAAGAACTGTCACTGTGTTAACCTCACTGCCAATATGAACTCATTTTCATGAAACGGACAGATCGTTTTAATGAGAGCTTTTGTTCAACTGACCTCGGAGTTTTGAAACATCCGAAAAGCTCACAATGTTGATATCTTGCCTTGTCGAAAAAGTAATACTCCCAAATACTCGTTCCCATTAAGATAACACCATAAGAACCCTTTGTTTGTTCAAACTGATATTCCTTTTTCAGGAGATGAACAGTTCAACAGCGACACTTCTGTTAAAACATAGCATGTTTTAAGTTTACTTCTAAAATGTCAAATGTTGAATGTTTATTCATGAAAATGTGTGTTTTAACTAATCTTTCTTTAAGATAATACATTTGTTTTATTTTCTCTTTTAAAATGAAACTTTTAAGGCAGAGAAAAGGAGCTTTAGATTTATAAAACAAGCCAAAAGTAAGAACTACCCCTCCCAAGGTGGATCAGTCTTATCTGTTTTAGCACAGACAGTAAGTTTCACTTTTAAGAAAACTCCAAAGAGACACACTTCGCAGAGAACTTTTAAGAAAAACTCCAGAGACTTCACACTGGAGCTCGGAACTGGGGTGAGAAGAAACCCAGCTTCTGCACTTGACCTCAGAGAGGAGAGCAGCATCCTTTCTGCAGACGACTTTAAGCAAACGAGGACGAAAAGATACAGAACCAGCACCTTTCCAGAGTGAACTGTGAGTAATCAGTCCAGAACAGTTACCCATCAAACCAGGTTCAGGCTGTTTACTGTTCACAGAGGGCTGAGTGATACTAGCAATCACAGCATTGTAAGAGGGGGACAGTTGAACCCGGAGGCCTCCACCCCTGTTTAATGATGGACAGTTTCTTTTCACAAAGATGGCCTCCTTTACTCCTCTCTCAAACCATCGTTCCTCTCTGTCCAGGATGTGAACATCTTCATCCCTGAAAGAGTGACCGCTGGCCTGGAGATGAGTGTAGACCTCAGAATCCTGGCCTGATGATGTTGATCTTCTGTGCTGGTCCATCCTTTTGGCCAGTTAGAAAATAAACGTCTCAGTTTCTCTGATACTCCCTCAACATATGGAATGACCACTGGTCTGGGTTCCTCCTTTTCACCTGATGGCTGACTGGAGTCCTGTTTGGGTTTCTTCTCTGCTTTCAGGAAGGCCCAGTTAGGATATCCACATTGCTCTAGAGCCTGTCTTGTGTGGGATTTCTCCTTCTGCCTGGCTCCTGAGTTATTGAATTTGTGATTTTTTTGGCATATCTGTGTGTATTACTGATTTTATGCCCTTTAAACACGAGAAAAGAACTCTCGTTCAGGTTACATTAATTTTGGGTAAATAGAGTCAGAGTCAGAGTTTCTTTATTGTCATTCGCACCTCATGTGGTACATGTGGTGGAGCGAAATTATGTACACAGGGTCCCAGTTACATCCAACAATAAAATGTAAAAGAAAAACAGTAATAACATCTAAGATATGAACTAAGAAAAACATCAACTAAATATACACTAAGCACTCATAACATAAAACATTGAACATGAGTCTGTGAGCGGATGTGCACGCATGAACACATCAACATTGAATAGAGACTGCTTTTCCTCTCCAAGAGAGAGGTGGTGCCCAAACAACAAGATTATTTGCATAATACATGCATATGTTATGAGCTTAACTCATAACTGATAATTAACAATATAGTTAAGCCCCATTTTGCTACACTGTTAACAGGAAACCTTTTCATTCAATCAATGTGCACATTATATGTGATGCACAAAAGTAACTAACCACCAACATGGTGGTGAGGTGGCCTGGTTCAACACGATTCACTCATTTTAATGAACAGCATTGCTGGAACAGACTACAAGCTGGCACGGTTCGGGATGAGTGGCTACTTGGTGACTAAATTAATGTAATTGTCCTAATATGTCTAACCATTTTCTCTTAATTTCTGCAAATGTGCAGACCCCACAGCATTTACAGCTTCACACACACCATCTCACTCACTCTTGCACTTGGTGCTAATGCCAGAGGACAGCATATGAAAAAGATTGTTTTCACAAGCCTCTACCTCATTTAGAAGCGTCTCCAACTCACATTCTGTGAAGTTCCTCTTTTTTCCCACATGTAGACATGCTTTTCATTAGTGCAGAGAGGAGAGGCTTCAGATGAAGATTTTAATCTTATTTGCATATGTAATGGAGGAGTGTTGAGGGAGGAGTCAGGTTTTGCCTTATGGGCACTCAATTCCACATTGACTGGGACGTACAAAGGAAGTATGTTTGGATACATGCGTGTGCACCGTTTCATACATCTGGATTTATTTGTGCGGACGATGTTTTCGTTATTTAAGCGTATGCCGTGTTTCAGTAGGAAATCCACACAAGTCTTTGTACATGAGGCCCCTGATATGTACTTGACACATACCAGGCTTACAAAAGATTGTACCCGTCACCTCCCTGGCTATTTAATTTTTTGCTTACAGTTTTATTTTCTTCAGATATTTCTGCTCTGCTGCCATGCTGGCAGTAACTAAGGATGCCACCTTCCAAGATGGCAGCACAAGTCCTCACTTCGTTAGCATAGACTGCTCTGTAACTATTCCACTGGATTTGTAATTCAAGTGTTTGGACTGCGAAGCAGGGTTTTGTTATAACTCAGTGTGATGTGCACGATCAGGTTTAGTTGAACTAATTCCACTGCAGTCAGAATATGATGCACCAGGTGTGTGGTGCTGTCTGCAGATTCTCTTTGTTCTTGTTTAGATTTTGGGAACATTGAAAAACATGTTCACTGTTTCCAACATGTCAAAGTTCTAATGTTTGACTCTGGCTTCATTCAGCTTGTGATGAAGTTAACTCCACTGCTGTTGACGTTGATGTTTACTTGTTTGTGTTTGTTTTTGTCAGCTCGGCTGCCTGGAGAGTCTGTGTGCCTACTGGAACGTCAACAGTCCCATGTACTACAAACAGTCATGGCAGGACATTGTGGTGAGCCGATCAAGTTTTCTGGTGTCTTCTTTAAATCATTTAAAACAAAATTAAAACAAAGCTACCGTAAGTTTTTATTTTTTTTCTCTGTACTCTGGTGAAGTCAAACGTGTTTCCCGGCGCTCCATAACACCAACTCCCCCCACCCCCCACACCACCCCACCCGGCTTCCCTGCTTGCACTCTTTTGCCCTGTGAACTCTTAAAAAGCCTCTTTTTTTTCTGCATACCTCTTAATTCGAAGGATCATCTGGTCTCTCAACAAAATTGATCAACTTCTCCCGACAGGAGTCAGGGTAAGGAGGACCCTCTTACCTCGACGGAAACAAATTGGATTCATGGTGACAACTGTTTTTTGCTGTTTGGTTGGTGAATTCTGGATTGTCTACAAATTCGTGTGGAGGTGTTGAAGCTTGACAGCACTCAGACTGAATTATGTGGAGCTGCGTCAGAGAGCTGGCTGGCAGGCTGTTATCAGGACTGTGAACTCTCTAGCAGCACACATGAAGGCGGACTTATCTCAACTCCTCCTGGCATGTTTAGGAACAACAAAGATGCTTTGTCTGTCTCTTCACTCCTCCCTTCCCCAAAGTCATGGACATGTGACGGAACCTCAACTGAGCTGATGATGAATAACACCTCTGATCTGGACAGTGGCTGAGAGGGGGGGGGCTCTGGACTATGCTACGACCTTCCCTTAAAATTCAATATCTTCACCGGCCTATATGTTCATGTATAACATCTATTTATGTTGCTTTGATGTGGTAGGTTTTTTTTAATGCCTCAAATTGTGCCCTGTCTAGGACACGGAGTGAGAGATCTTTTTTATACCGTCTCTCCTCATGTTTTCTTCCCTTTTCTCATCTAAGCAAAATATTATTCTGAATAAGAATAAGAGGGCCACAATTTCATAGTGGCGGCATCGTGCGCTCCGCCCATCTTTCGGACGACTGTACATACATTTTCTCATTGTATCTCGGTGCAATGATAATAAAGTTTATTCTGATTTCCAGACTGAGTGCACCCAAATATAAGCCGTGTCTACTAAATAAAAATAATTTGACACATGTAGTTGTCTATAAACTTGTCTATAAGCCGTGGGTGTCCACGTTGTAACATAAGATATTTACACAGAAAGATTTTTTTTTAAACTTTTAATTAAATACGTACCCGTAACATACACAAATACGTACAGTAAATATTTTTTTTCTGAAAAGTGCAGATAACACAGCTGGTTAAAAAAATACAGTAGCCTACCTGGAAGTCATTTATCGCCATCTTCATCTTCCTTCTGTGCAAGCTTTTGCTATGCTCCATCACACAGCAGCCTTTTGAAACCTGTTTGGTCATAGAGGATTGTTTTTTCTCTGCTCCTCTGTCAGGACCCTCTGCAGACTAGAGCAAAAGTTGCTCTTTGCATGCGGACAGTTTTGGTAAATGATGTCTCGCCTCCAGTCATTCAAGCCTCCCACTAAGCTCGGATTATCACATTAATGCACAATTCACACCTATTTTGAGTGATTGCAAATACTTTGTTTTTCCTCCCTGGGAGTAAAATAGGGAGGAGAGAACGGGGAAGGGAACAAAGTTTCCCCCCTCCCTGTTCTCCTCCCCATTTCATTGGTCCACTGTGACCATCCGTCCAGTTATCCATTATCTTTCACTCGCTTCTTTCTTTTTGGGTTGCGGGGGTCAGTGGTGCCCATGTCCAACAGTCACTGTGCGAAAGGCGGGGGACACCCTGGATAGGTCTCAAGTCCATCACAGGGACACATAGAGACAAACGAGACGAACAACACTCTCACTCACACCTAGGGACAATTTAGAGTTACCAGTCAGTCTAACATGCATGTTTTTAGTCTGCTGGAGGAAACTGGAGCACCCGGAGAAAACCCACGCATGCACGGAGAGAACATGCAAACTCCACCCAGAAAGGCCCCCAGACTGAAATTTGAACCAAAGTAACCTGCCCACTAAGAGGCAGCAGCTCTACCAGTTGCACCACCATACTGCCCTCCGCTGTGACCAGTTCGGGAACTTCATTAGTGAGATTTATTTGGACCTTCATTTGTTCAGGTAGTCTCATTGAGTCATGTGGACTCACCCACCAAGAGAAACGTGTTTTGGGGAGCTATGTGAGGGCCCAGGTGTGACGAGGCTAAATGTTTTGGCAGAATGAAGCCAATCAAAAAAAATAAAATCCATAAGTTGGCCGCAGCATTGTATATAAGTCTAAGTCAAAGTCAAAATTATTTTTGTGTACACAGGGTCCCAGTTACATCCAACAAAAGTATAAATTGTAAAGAAAAACATAAGATCTAAGATAAGCCGTGGTGTCCAAAGTGTGTGAAAAAAGTAGTGGCTTATAGTCTGGAAATTACTGTACTTTTAGTTTTTAAGCACTTTTTGTGAATGTTTTTTGTTGTAAATGAATTCTCTCCTGCAGGACCAGCTGAAGTCTGGAATCAGCGTTAAAGTTCAGGAGCTTCCCCACTATCAGTACAGTGAGTCCAACTCTTTAGTTAAGCAACAGAAAATAGTAACATGTGTTTGCACTTAATGATGCCATGTTGTAAAAACTGAAACTGGGAGTCAGCAGGGTGTCTCTCTCTCCTATGTTTTCAAAGTGCATACAAACAGGATGCTGTTTTAAAACGTGATATTGTAAAATATTTATACGATTGTTGCCTAGAATTATTTGAACAAATGCATTTCACTAAAGCCACAGTCAAGTACACACAGACACAGGCCAAAAAAATCTTTGTTGGGTGATAAAGACAAATTGAATTAAATTGTTAAATTTGTTTCTGTCTGAAGTTTTCAAGCCAATTTTCGCTTCCGCTAAAATTTGCATCAACCCTACCGCTGAGGTCCAGCTGAAATCTCCGAAGGTGAACCTTCAGCTGGAGGTCCAGAACATTGCCATCGAGATGACAAAGCCACAGGTAACAGGAGACAAACATGGTGGATGGAGAACAGGTGGAGGCAGGTGACATCAGTTATTTCCTCTCTGTGTCCTCTGCAGTATCTGAGCATGGTGGACGTGCTGGAGTCCATTGACTTGATGACGAAGAACGCCCCCTACAGGAAGTTCAGACCTGAGGTTCCCATACAAGAAAATGCCAAACTCTGGTCAGTTTGATTGATCTGAAATGTCATTTTGTTGTCCTCAGCTCAGAAACTGAAATTACAGTGAGCCTGTTGTCCTTAGGAAGTAGTCTGTCCTCAGCTGATGATCTCTTTTTGAACTCAACAGTACAAACCTTGACACAGTGTTGACATTGCACAAAAAATGAAACTGAATTGAGAAATTTTGTTCAAAATTCACTAAAATTTGAGAATACAAAAAAAACAGAAGGATGGAGTATTAAGAAAACTGATTTCTATGACAATAAGGTTGGGTTCTGAAAACACAAGATGAGCAGGTTGTGACCCTGATTTGTTTATGTTCTGATCCTGATCTGAATCTGTACAGGTTCTGATCCTGATTGGGTTTGGTTCTGGTCCAGATCAATGCAGGAAGCCAACAGAAGCTCAGACCAAAACAGCAAATTGTCATTTTCATGTGTTCTGCCTTCATCAGGTGGAGGTATGGTTTCAATAGCATCGTGGAGGTCCACATCCGGCGTATCAAGAGAATGTGGTCCTGGTCCAACATCAGACTTCACCGAGAGAACCTGAAGGCCTACAGGTTGGCCTACAAGATCAAACTACTGAACCAGGCTAAATCGGAGTCATACACTGAGCAACAGGTCCAAGTGAGTGACTGGCAAGGTTCTAACCAGACCCCAAAACAATTACCGTACTTTTCAGTCTACAGTGCGCACACAAATATAAGCCACGCTTACTAAATAATTTTTTTTAAGTAAAGAAAAATTTTGTACAAATATAGGCCACACTTGTCTATTAGCTACGGGTGTCCACGTTGTAACATGTGATATTTACACGGAAAGATTTTTTAAAACTTTTAATTAGTTCTAGAATTGCGCCGCTCAAGGTGCTGCATGTTGGAGCAGCTCTGTTACTTTCATTTTGAGATTTTGCATTTGGAAACTTTAATTCCTCTTTTTCTGGATGTAAATCACAATTTTCTGGATGATTGTTTCCTCTGGTATCAGATGCTGTGCAGCTGGAAGGATTTTTACTGAAACTTTTTTAGTTTTGGTTATTTGTTATGATGCGTAACCATGGCAACAAGGCAGTTTCTACAACCAACAGCATCTGATTAATATCTTGAAGCTCAAATAATATCTCTACTACAGCACAAAATCTCAAGTGAGTTGAAAAGGATGTTCTGTGGACACATTCTCATCTACCTGCCAGCTGTGCTCGGGTGCCTGACCACTGGGATCCTGGAGCTGGCGGGAGACACGGCTCATGGCAGTGGAAAGACAAGATCATCCCTCGGCACCTACACTTGGCTGTAGGAGGAGGAGGAGGAGCTCAGCAGACTGCTGGGAGGAGGGGCCAGGTCTTTAATTGTTTTAATACTGATGATTATGGCATACAGCTCATGAAAACCCAAAATGCCTGTCCCAAAAAATTAGCATATTTCATCCCACCAATGAAAGACAAGTGTTTTTAACACAAAAAACGCCAACCTTCAAATAATCATGTTCACTGATGCACTCAATACTTGGTCGTGAATCCTTTTGCATGAATGACTGCTTCAATGCGGCGTGGCATGGAGG